AAATTATAGCTTAATATGTTATTTATCCGAGTTCATGTCTTTAAAACGTTGTAACGTTACTATACGGCATATAATCGTTTCCATAGCAACACCTGTCTACGATTCCTGGCGCACGGACTATTTTCTTGTTATAAGTTTTCTTACTGAATTAAAAAGAGCCCTAAATTGCGCCAAACGTCACGAAAATTTTATGACGTCACTTCCAACTTAAGGACGTCATTTCCGCTAGTGTTTAAGCCGTTACCCGCAGATCATTATAGCATACGTGCGCGACAAGACAACGAGGACTATGGAAAACACCGTCAAAAGAGGAACAGCGTGTTTTTATTAATCAGACGGAACTGATTCAACGCTATCCGTAAGAAAGCGGCCGGAAAATGCTTGCGTCAATTCTGGAGAACATCTACCTACATCATCTGCCACTTCTCTGGAACTTGAATGTTCTTTTGTTAACCGCATCGCTCACACCACCCTACTCACCGACCTGGCCCCAATGGACTTTTCCGTTTTTTCCGGCCATCAAATCGAACTATGAGGAATCCGGTTTGAGAACCTAGTTGAACTGCGCCTCTAGAGTTATGAGCATTATTGCAACTTTAAATCTGACTGGTATATAGAAATGTATTCGCCAAGTGGGTTACGAGGCATGAGAAATGTGTACGTTGTGAAGGAAGATACTTTGAAAAGGAGTAGCAGTTGACTTTTTCTACGGTGGTTGTTAAACTCTGAAATAACGGCAACGTCGGATAACGTCGTTGCGTGCGCCGGGTCACCGGTAGTGTCTGTGCCTAACGCTTTGTAGCTCTTGTATACATGAAGCTATTGTTATGAAATTTTACACTATAATAGATGAGGTATTAAAGTAATACATAGTAAACTCTTGTTTGATTTTATCTTTTCCAACGCTAAATATTGACCCAGTCTCAAAACTTTCAGAACAACCCTCGTAGTGACAATAATCATATAAGAACCAATTATTTTCCAAAGTATGACAATTATAAATTATTGCTGGTTAAAACTAAGTACTTGCTTAGCTAAACAATTTCAATTAAACATAAGGAAAAAGGTGGGTTTTTTTTCAGTCAAACAAATATTCTTATATTTTAAAATAGAAACACAAAAATATGAAGTGTTGTCAACAAATAGAATGTCATATGCATTTTACCTCAAACAATTATAACACATAATTTGAGTACATCTTCCATAAATAATGTTTCAACCTTACACTGTGTTTCAATATAAAGCACTGACCCTTAAGAAGAATTATAACTTCTATTTGTCACACAGATACATTTAGATGCACTTATCAATACTTGAACATGCCAAGTACACAGAAAGAATGTTTCCATGGTGAGAGTTGCATGGTTGAAGTCTCTAATAGTGTACAACTTCCTCACATCTCACTAAACTGAACACAAGACAATGTTCTTTGAATCACAAATGTAATGATATAATCTAATGAGCATGTATAAAAATGTCCACTTATAGTGTAAATACATGAATAGAGCAACTTCCATCCAACTAGTGAACCTCGTCTTCCTGACTGTCTACTTCACATGATTTAACGGATTATTTACAAACATAATTATATACACATGTACACATGAGGACAGCCACTGCTATTGTTTCTTAAATCCTTTCAATATTGGATAAATGTTTTCAAATGCTTCATAAATTTCTTCCCTCACTTTGGCACCTGAAAGAGAAAATTATTCAACATGGTAAGTTGAGTAACCGCATAAACTGTATACAGTTTATATAAGTTTTCTTTATTTAATTAATAAAAACGATTTCTGTTAACGATTGTAGTCAAAATGAATTTTATATTATTTTACTTAGTTCCTTCACTGCAAAAACTTATGCATATAAAAACCTGCACTGATGGAGAAAACACATGCAACCTTGCCCTATATGCTACTGGTATGTGAAGTACTGTGATTAGGCCAGGTTTCTGATTGTCTATGTTTTAAATAAAGATATAATTCTGGAAGGAGGCTATACCATCATTAAAACTAAGCCAATCAGACATTAACCCTAACCTGGATAATGAACAAATCTATTTATTCACAATTTGAAAATTATAAAGTTGAAAAGTTGGATGTAAGAAATTTCATACATTTACAGAGCCTCTGTAAAGTAATTTCATGTAACTGGCTGGAGTCCAAAAGCAAGGATGTCTCCCCCCCCACCCCCACCCCCCAAATTTTACAAAGGCCATTTCTCAACTGGTTGCCTTTATTTTGACATTGCTTTTATGTTGAAACCTTTCAGACATATGTAAAAACCACAAATAAAGTATCTAATGTTAAATATTTACTCAGAAAAAATTGCAAAGGAAGATATCACAAATAAATTTCATTAACATTATTTGTGCACATCTTACCAAATTTCAATGTTCTTTGTGAAAATTTTTAACTGGGTGTTTCCCCAACCTGTGAAATAAAAGCCCTCAACCAAAATTGATAATCCTTTGCCCCCAGTACAGAGTCAGTCCTGTCTAACCAGGCTTTCTCAAGTACTTTGATATTGAAATCCCTTTTCATATAAATGAACTCTTCCAAGTTTCAAACATGTCATTATACAAATTCAATAGGGTAGGGGTTCAAGGTTTTTTGTTTTTAGTTACCTGTTAACACAACTTTTCCTGAGACAAATATCAGCAGAACAATCCTTGGTTTCATCATTCTGTATATCAGACCTGGAAACAACTCTGGCTCGTAACTGTAATCACAAATAATTTATTTCATGCTTTTCAGTAAATAAAGAAATTATCAAAATATAATTTCACTGTGGTCGCACTATATTTGAATGCGGATGAAATTAATGATTAATAAACAGACATTTTGCCAGACATACACCTAGTCCTAAGTCAAAAGTGCTTAATGCTTAATTAAGGGAATCACATAAACACACTTTATGTCATATTGCGACTTTCCAGCTCTACTGGTTGAACACAGTATGTCATATTGCGACTTTACAGCTCTACTGGTTGAAGATGATCTCATGTGCCCCTCTGTACATAACTTGAGGCATGATCGGGCACCCAAGTAGAACCACTGACCCTCCATATGCTAGCTGGATAGCTTCCTCACATGAAAAAATCAAATGTCTGTATAGGAATTCAAACCCACAGCAGTCAGGGGCAGGTTGTTTGAAGTTAACAACTTTAACCACTTTGCCACAGACGCCCCCATGTGTAACATCAAATTATATGTCACTCTTGAACACAAGCTGTTAAATTTCACATACTAAACAAATTCACATATGTTCAGATTGTACATGTTTTATGGCTTTAATCTTTAAAAATAACAACCTTGAGAATTTTCCATGGGTGAGTACTAGTCCTTCTAACCTAATAGGAAACTTTACATCACAACTTCCAACCATATTCTGTATCTTGAAATCTTTAAATTTTGCCTGCAATATAATAAACAGAATAAAAACAATAATTTTGATAAACTCTCGGGGAGAAAAAATTTCCAATCAAATTTATATTAAGTCATTTTTATATGTTGTTGTTTCACAAAACAAACAGTCAGAGAGTTTCATGTACTTTTTTAAGGTATGAGCCCCCTAACGGGCACTATAAGGAACTATAAAATTGACAACATAGGTCAGTTATATACCTTAAAAGACACAAGAATGCAAAAATTTAAACAAAGTTTACCGTATGGTTTATGAGTTATGGAGATTTTTCTAAAGTAAAACTTGGCTATTAGAAGGGCTCTTTTTCAGAAATGAGAAACTCTAATTATTCTTTTATATAATCATTATGAAATAATTTTTTCCTATAGAAAATATTTCAGAAACAAAAAATAGCATTCAGCTAACAAATGACCCAGCAAAATTATTGTTTCTACACAAAATGTTTGAATTATGTATATAAATGTTACCCTACCCCACCCATTTTAAGTAGTTGTTTAATCATTTAATCATTTTTCTACTTGGAGGGCCTTATTCAAAATATCCCTAAAATTTACTCAAATCAGGGCTGTTTTCAAAGTTTGCATAAATTTTTCTTAAAAGTATATTGGATGCGCTTGTCAAATATAAAATACTTTTTTACTGTCTAGTTTTATTTTATTAGACTTTGAAAATATCAGGCACCATATTTAATAAAAAATTTGGCACAATTTAGCCAATAAATACCAATAATAATTTTATAATTAAAATGAAACACTTTTTTCTTATCAAGAGTGACCCGAGAAACACAAATAATGTTCAAAGAAAAAAAAAGTTGCCTCTTCTGGGGCTTGAACCCGCGCCCCTCAGTTACAATGCAGTTGACTGCAGTTTTAGCCTATTTGAGTACTCTTCAAAGTGGAGGTAATGCATTAGGTGGGTCATACCTTAGTCCATCCTTAAAAAAATGTTTGTTTGCAGTAACCCGACCCAGAATTTTCAAAGTGGGTAGGTAGGTCGATTTTTTTTTTTTTTTTTAATAAACAGTTACTGTTCTCCCAAATGAACATGGAATTTCAAAATGCTGGACAATATATGCTTCGATAATCTGGTAACAATTAATAAATTGATCACTGAATTCTAATTAAGAACTAATTAATAAGAACTACATTTTATTTCTTCTATTAACCTTTAAAAGAACGAAAGCGAAGCACACAGCATAATTTTCTGATTCAAAAAAAAAATTTTTTTTTTATCCAGACCATAAAAAAACATTTGAGAAGGGGCAAACTTTGTGAGTCGGTCGCGTTACTGCAAACAAACATTTTTTTAAGGATGGCCTTAACTAATAAAATGTAATGGTCATTGTACAAATATATGAGCCGCGTCACGACAAAACCAACATAATGGGTTTGCGACCAGCATGGATCCAGAACAGCCTGCGCATCCGTGCTGTTCGCTATCAGTTTCACTACTTGTTATAGGGTTTGTAAGCGAACAGCATGGATCCTGATCAGACTGCGCGGATGCGCAGGCTGGTCTGGATCCATGCTGGTCGCAAACCCATTACGTTGGTTTTGTCGTGACGCGGCTCAAATATATATACATTGTTATCTACTGTTTAATATATGCAAGTCGAAGGACAATGATATTGCATATGAGACTATAGTTTCTAGTGCTAACTCCTGAAAATTGTCATCTTAAATAATAATATTTGAAAAATTTCTTTACAAACTGCCATACAGCTATTTTAACATGTCTAAAACTATGCTTCTTCTACCTTATAGAAGGTGAACAGTAATGCATAAGCAAACAAACAAGAGCTGTCGGTAGGACAGCAACGCTCGACTATTCTTAGTGCTTGATAGTAAAAAAAATGCTTGATAGAGTTACCTCTTCCTGTTTACAGGTTGGGGTCATGATGGTGAACAAGTGTGCAAAGTTTCAAAGCCATATGTCAATGGACTTTGAAAATATTTGAACTATTACAAAAACTTTAACGTAAATTCTAAGTCGAAAAAGGGGTATAATTCTGTCAAAATGCTTGATAGAGTTACCTCCACCTGTTTCCAGGTTGGGGTCATGATGGTGAACAAGTGTGCAAAGTTTCAAAGCCATATGTCAATGGACTTTGAAAATATTTGAACTATTACAAAAACTTTAACGTAAATTCTAAGTCGAAAAAGGGGCATAATTCTGTCAAAATGCTTGATAGAGTTACCTCCTCCTGTTTACAGGTTGGGGTCATGATGTTGAACAAGTGTGCAAAGTTTCAAAGCCATATGTCAATGGACTTTGAAAATATTTGAACTATTACAAAAACTTTAACGTAAATTCTATGTCGAACAAGAGCTGTCGGTAGGACAGCAACGCTCGACTATTCTTAGTGCTTGATAGTAAAAAAAAATGCTTGATAGAGTTACCTCCTCCTGTTTACAGGTTGGGGTCATGATGGCGAACAAGTGTGCAAAGTTTCAAAGCCATATGTCAATGGACTTTGAAAATATTTGAACTATTACAAAAACTTTAACGTAAATTCTAAGTCGAAAAAGGGGCATAATTCTGTCAAAATGCTTGATAGAGATACCTCCTCCTGTTTACAGGTTGGGGTCATGATGGTGAACAAGTGTGCAAAGTTTCAAAGCCATATGTAAATGGACTTTGAAAATATTTGAACTATTACAAAAACTTTAACGTAAATTCTAAGTCGAAAAAGGGGCATAATTCTGTCAAAATGCTTGATAGAGTTACCTCCTCCTGTTTACAGGTTGGGGTCATGATGGCGAACAAGTGTGCAAAGTTTCAAAGCCATATGTCAATGGACTTTGAAAATATTTGAACTATTAAAAAACTTTAACGTAAATTCTAAGTCGAAAAAGGGGCATAATTCTGTCAAAATGCTTGATAGAGTTACCTCCTCCTGTTTACAGGTTGGGGTCATGATGGTGAACAAGTGTGCAAAGTTTCAAAGCCATATGTCAATGGACTTTGAAAATATTTGAACTATTACAAAAACTTTAACGTAAATTCTAAGTCGAAAAAGGGGCATAATTCTGTCAAAATGCTTAATAGAGTTACCTCCTCCTGTTTACAGGTTGGGGTCATGATGGTGAACAAGTGTGCAAAGTTTCAAAGCCATATGTCAATGGACTTTGAAAATATTTGAACTATTACAAAAACTTTAACGTAAATTCTAAGTCGAAAAAGGGGCATAATTCTGTCAAAATGCTTGATAGAGTTACCTCCTCCTGTTTACAGGTTGGGGTCATGATGGTTGAACAAGTGTGCAAAGTTTCAAAGCCATATGTCAATGGACTTTGAAAATATTTGAACTATTACAAAAAACTTTAACGTAAATTCTAAGTCGAAAAAGGGGAGGACAGCAACGCTCGACTATTCTGTCTTGATAGTAAAAAAAATGCTTGATAGAGTTACCTCCTCCTGTTTACAGGTTGGGGTCATGATGGTGAACAAGTGTGCAAAGTTTCAAAGCCATATGTCAATGGACTTTGAAAATATTTGAACTATTACATAAAAAACTTTAACGTAAATTCTAAGTCGAAAAAGGGCATAATTCTGTCAAAATGCTTGATAGAGTTACCTCCTCCTGTTTACAGGTTGGGGTCATGATGGTGAACAAGTGTGCAAAGTTTCAAAGCCATATGTAAATGGACTTTGAAAATATTTGAACTATTACAAAAACTTTAACGTAAATTCTAAGTCAAAAAGGGGCATAATTCTGTCAAAATGCTTGATAGAGTTACCTCCTCCTGTTACAGGTTGGGGTCATGATGGTGAACAAGTGTGCAAAGTTTCAAAGCCATATGTCAATGGACTTTGAAAATATTTGAACTATTACAAAAACTTTAACGTAAATTCTAAGTCGAAAAAGGGGCATAATTCTGTCAAAATGCTTGATAGAGTTACCTCCTCCTGTTCACAGGTTGGGGTCATGATGGTGAACAAGTGTGCAAAGTTTCAAAGCCATATTCAATGGACTTTGAAAATATTTGAACTATTACAAAAACTTTAACGTAAATTCTAAGTCGAAAAAGGGGCATAATTCTGTCAAAATGCTTGATAGAGTTACCTCCTCCTGTTTACAGGTTGGGGTCATGATGTTGAACAAGTGTGCAAAGTTTCAAAGCCATATGTCAATGGACTTTGAAAATATTTTGAACTATTACAAAAACTTTAACGTAAGTTCTATTCTAAGTCGGTAGACAAACGCTCGCACTATTCTTAGTGCTGATGTCAAAATGCTTGATAGAGTTACCTCCTCCTGTTACAGGTTGGGGTCATGATGGTGAACAAGGTGCAAAGTTTCAAAGCCATATGTCAATGGACTTTGAAATATTTGAACTATTACAAAAACTTTAACGTAAATTCTAAGTCGAAAAAGGGCATAATTCTGTCAAAATGCTTGATAGAGATTACCTCCTCTGTTACAGGTGGGGTCATGATGGTGAACTGTGCAAAGTTTCAAAGCCATTTGGTAAATTCTAAGTCGAAAAAGGGTCAAAATGATGTTTTACTGTGAATGCTCTGATCATGGCTAGAGGATGCAAGTGTGCAAAGTTCATCATGAGTTCATCAATATAAAATTCCAGCGAATCACATATGTTACCTCAAGTCCAATGACTGGACAGTTAATTTGAAAATCCGATTTGAACTATAGAGCTAAACTCTCACGCGACGAGAAAAACCATACATGGACCATCAAGCTCTCTACGATCTTCACGTCCATAACTCATACCACGGCAGAGAGGGTGTAACAGTTTATCATCTTGGAAAGAAAACACTCCCTTATGTCACAGCAACAATCAGCTACCTAGTAGCTGCGAGGGAAAATTGCGGACACCATCATCTTTATTTATTACTACCTTTACACAGGCATAAGTCCTCTAAATCTAATCACCTTTCCCTCTTGTGGACGCCCCATCAGTCTCATGCTCTGTGGAAGTTGCGCTATCCACGAAAAAAGTTCCGCAGTTGATTTGTAGTGATCGACTTTT